TTACAGTGAGGCACAGTACGTCAAGGAAATAGTAGAAAAAGCCGCGAACACGGCGCCTCCCAAATAAGACCCTTGCACTCCCAACATTGGACGAGTTTGTACGCGCTCGGACGAGTTTTCCCACCCACTGGTTCCATGCTCCAAATACATTCACTTCCTTACAGTTTTGTTTCTTCATCTTATTTGTTTCTATTTGTTTGTTTTTTGTTCTCATCATTCTTACAGCTTGGTGCCAGCTCCTATGATCTATTGTAGCAACGGAGTCGTCACTTTTCGCGCAATGGATGTAGTGAACAGAAAAGGCGCGAAAGTCTGATCGCAGCAGATTTTCGGCGCTTGGAATAACTCAAGGCAACTGGAACTCGTTCTTCAGTGGCGTCAAGTTTCTGTTTTTCTTTGTGCTCTCACGTCTGCATAGCATTTTGTGACAGCACAAAATGCTATGCAGACGTGAGAGCACAAAGAAAAACAGAAACTTGACGCCACTGGAGAAGGAGTTCCAGTTACCGAAGACCCTTCCACTCTGACCTTTCACATTTCAACTTTCCACGCAGAATAAATGGTCTCATTCAGTCCCCTCCCTCTGAAAAAAAGTGATCCTAGCCTGCGACATTTTTTGCACCTTTCGATGCCTTCGTGGCTCCGTTCTTTCACTTCGTACGCGTTGCCTTCGTGGCAGACCCTCATCGAAAGTTCTAGTTGTCGCGTAACCGACTGAGAGGTAGGGGCCCGGCTCTAGGCTTGATCCCCTACTTCTCTATCCGCTTACGTTATTGTCGTGCCCTTTCGCATAAGGTGGTACGCTTTAGTCGAATGGAGAGGTACTCATGTGGGGAACGACTCCAACTCCCACGTACTTGTGCGCCATGCTTTAAAATGCTCAAGCCATTGGCTAACAATCGGTTCTTCGCGCTTTGGCGCTCGGTGTTGTCCATGCTCGTAACATTCCTTACCTCCCGCTAGTTGTGGGTAAGGGAGGGGGTTGCAGCATCACGCAAGCGATCAGGGTTTTGCAGCCTCACGCAAGAGATCGAAGTTCACAGAATCGTGGTATGTGACAGGACAATCGTATATGGTAGACGTAGCGGGCGACACCGCGCCCGACGCGAGTTGTCCTGCCTGGCCGTCAGAAAAGTCTCAAAGGGACGGGGAAGTTTGATATCGCTCGTCATGGAGTCATGTCTGCGCCTAAATTCATGCGAGTTTCGCTGCTCTAATCAACAAAACTGATGCACATCAAGAACTTGCTGCGCGTCGCCGCACGGGAGGCCGCGCGCGGTGACGACAAACTGCAATTGTCTTGTCCGCATCCCGAAAAGTGGTCCGATATGTTGACAGGGATGTACAAAATGCACCAGTATACTAAGACTAGCACTGGGCATTCTGTGTCGTTTCTTAGTTCCTGTCTAGAACTTTGTTATTGTTTGTAGCGATGTTCCCATTAACTATTTATTCTTTAACTTGTTAAGTTAATATGTAAAACATTAAATTCTGTATATAATAATTGCCAAAGCTGCACTAATATACACATCATTCATCAATCGTTGAGTGAAATTAGTTAAGCAACATTTTTGTATGCAAAAATAATTTCGAGAGAGCGAAAATTTAGCTCACATGTATAAATCACAGAAATAGACGGTAAAATACACAAATAACTGCAAAGTCGTTAAAAATGCAACAGAAAAAAAGCGGAAATAAACCCATACCGTATCGATCGGCGATTCAACGGTTTTCTTATCACTTCAAGCTGTAAACTAACAGTTTCGAAACGAAGAACTCATGGAGTTCATAGAACGCCTGTACGCTTGTCCTTGTCGATAAGGGCACGCCCTGCCGTTGGGGGGGGGGGGGAGTTTGCAAGACACACCCCTCTCATACACTCCTGCTCTGTTATGACCCCATCCTCATCTGCTTTCCTGGAGTTTTTTAAAGTGTTATTCGAGCGAAGGGGGGGGGACCTGGGGCGGAAATTCAAGATTTCCCTGCCTTTATCGTCCCCTGTTGTCGATGCGAGAGAAATAAAAATAGGGAACTCTTCGAAAGGTTGCGGCCGAGCGGATTGCGGTATATAGCTCACTTGAAGCAGGAAAAGCGGAGAAAAGTCAACAATCGGAAACATCTGGAAATATTTTTCTTCGAAGGGGTACGACTCCTCCTGCGGCCTAATAGGCCGCCCCTCTGGGGATCCCAAGCGAACGACGTGCCCTGTTGTCGATCCATCCATCGGTGATAGCTAAGCGTGTCTATTCGCGACGACGAAGTGAAAGCGTGATGATACACAAATGCGTTTTTCAAAGCGTATGTGAGTGCAGTTATGTACATACGTGTGTGTATATATGTGTGAAAATATGTATTTGTTGTATGTCATGTGTAGGGTTAACCCGTGTGCTATGGCGCATAGGTGATGGATGGTGATTGAATGGTGGTGATTACGGTAGAATCTCGGCGGTGGTGGCGAATTTGTCGTCATCGTTGTTGTTGTCGTTTAGTGTAAACGATTCAAATATCTGTATACTCCTACAGATGGGATTAGCACACTCTCGCATGTCCATTAACGAGAGTATGGTTGGATGTACATCGCACACCAGCTGAACTCGTCCAATGCATTCGTAGCCACATCTGAAACATGTGGCGATCAATCTATCGATTTTTGAAAGAGGGAAGTTGATTTTGAAGGAGATTTATGATTGTTGGGAATTTGGGGTGGAGGTGTGCGTCTACGACGCATGGAAGCTGCTTGTGTGAGTCTATGGGTCGCTCGAAACGCTACTGTTGTTCTGGCCCTGTAGCGCGGTCCCGGGACCGCAGTTTCTGCACCAAATTACCTTTCGCAGTGGTACAAGTAAGCGGTACAAAAGACTTCTATCGTCTCTCATGCTGGCCAACTGAGCCTTCCTTTCTTCTGGGAACGGTAAATTGGACCAGAT